TACGGGATGAAGCCAGAAAATACTGGAAGCCATGCAGTCTCAAAGTGGACACAAATTCGGGAAACTGTCACACCTGCACGCGTTCACAGCAACCGTAGCCGGCGAAAACAGCCGTCTGCTTTACGTCACCGATAAAAGGAGGGAGGAGGTTGGCTACTTCATCGACACCGGCGCAGAAGTTAGCGTTCTTCCCGCGCAGACTAAGGAGCGTCATCATGACCCATCCATCAATCTCCAAGTGGCTAACGGTATGCCTACCTCAAATTAGGTTTACGTAAGCCCACTCACTGGATTTTCCTCCTAGCTGACGCTTCTGTGCCCATCAATGGCATAGTTTTGCTGAACCATTACGATCTACTCGCAGATGCTCGCCATAGATGACTGATAGATGACAACACAAAGTTATCTGTCGGCAGCACCACCTACGTAGGTCTGAGTTTAGCCGTCGATAGAACCAAACAATCGGGCGACGCGTCCTATCATGCAGTGTTAGAGAAATACCACAGTTGCAACAACCGAAGCGCGCTCTTCCGTGCATCATTAGCAATGTTATGCACCACGCGACAACCGCAAGTCCACCTGTGGCATTCAAAGCACTCCATCTGGCCCTTGATAAGCTCGAAACGGCGAAAAGTGAGTTTGACCACATGCTCGAGCCGGGCATTATCAAACCTTCAAGTAGTCCTTGGGCATCACCACTGAGTATGGTTCCCAAAATCGATGGCAACGACTGGCATCCAACCAGTGATTAAAAAGGCTTAACGCAAAAATAATATCGGACCGCTACACGACACCTCATATCTACGACTTGACTACAACGTTATATGGAATGAACATATTCTCCAAAATCGATTTGGTCAAAGCATACAGTCAGAATATATCACGAAAACAGCCATCAATTCTCCTTTTGCCCCGCTTGAACTCCTGCGCATGCCATATGGTCTTCGAAATGCAGCACAAGCATTCCGATGCTTTATGGATGATGTCTTCCGTGGTTCAGGTTTCATCCATGTCCACATCGATCACCGTCTCATTGCTAGTCCAGATAAGGAAACTCACCTTAAACTTTTGGGCCTCATATTCAGTAAACTGAGGAAACATGGTATCACAGTCAACGTGCGGAAGTGTGAAATTGGAGTTGAATCACCCAGCTTTCTTAGGCATGCCACTGCTGACAAAATTAAACTCCCATTGAGAGATAAAGCGGTGATCATCATGAACTATCCAGAGCCGATCACTGTGGAGCATCTCCACACCTTTTCGTCGGAAACGAAAGAGTTGGCGACCAGTGAAGGCTACTGTTTCCTTTACAAAACAACGCGGTCGTTTGTTTTGGGTGATGGACAGGAGGACTGGAGATCGGTTTCCGGTTGACACTAGAGCAGACGTGAGCGTGACACCACTCGCCCCCCAGAAGGCGCCATCCCAACCCAACCTTGGTGCTACAAGTGGCAAATGGATGTGCTACTACCACGTATGGGGCTGGGATTTTGATCCTGGACTCTGGTTTTCATATACCACTCCGGTGGGAATTCGTCACTGCTGACATATCGCTACCTGTCGTCGACATGGAGTTACCTCATCACTGCGAGCTTTCTATCGAGTCTAGTCGCCATAGATTAGTTGGCAGCAGCAGTAAATTTTCACATCGCGAGTACTATCGCGGAGACAAAAACAATAAACCTGGTCGTTTTGCTGGACAATAGCGATGAAAGGTTCATGAGGGAATACATCCAAGTTGTTTACATTTTGTACTTCACTTATGATTCCAGAGCATTGTAATTCTTGCGCAATCGTACAAGTTCACATCAAGGATTCATAACCCTGCCAAACATTAGCGCTGAGGACTAGGCATCCGCAACTTTCAACTCGAGCATCCAAAGCAAACAGTTTTGTTTGGGTGCGTCTAATATTCCAAGAAATATGTGTGGGATAGCGGACTTCTGGAACATCTTGCGTGGATTTTCCGAAGGCAGTGACGAACTCGTGGTTGGTAAGTGCCAGACTTTCCTGGGTATTCTCAAAATCAGTAGATCTATGGTTTGCACAAGTACGAGGTTGTAGTCCAAAGAAAAATCCGTGCTTCTGCTTGTCGTAACAAGATATTGCGGATGCAGTGGCACCTTGACTGCCTTCCAGTTTTCGCCAAAGTTTTTTTCTTTGATAATCTATTTTTAGCGACAACCAAACCAACACCCCGAACTTGAATGCTTTTTTACAACGAAAAAGAACAAAAAACAGCAGGCGGCGACAGGAAGCAAGAGTTTCAACGGGAAGTGTTTCCTATTTACATGTTACTCCTCGCCTAACTTTCTTCACTAAGCTTTCGTTGTATATGCTTGCTGTATTAAATCCTTAAGAACACAACGTTCATGCTACTGTGTATTCTAAGGTTTTGCGAGCTCCTTGCAGGATGGATTTCTGTCCGCAAAATCTGGAATCACATGTCACCCAGAATTCTTCGGTCGTGTGATCAACAGTAGAGACGATGAAAAAGTGGTTGTCTTGCTTTGCTTCGATTTCACTGAAGCCTTAGACGAGGTGCATCACCCCTCACTTCCTCGTAAACTGAATTCATTTTTGATAAATGGCAAGTTGCATGACTGGATTAGCTCATTTCTGTTGAACCGCATTCAAATTGTTAAACCTGGCTCACAGTGTTCACTTCCCAGTGGAGTAAACCAAGGCTCCGTTCTGTGAGTCCTTCTCTTTATAGTTCATACAAATAATGTACGCGTCTGCTTTCGATCAGGGAAAACCTTCCTCTTTGCTGATAACTTGAGAGTATTGTACAAAAATATTTTTAAAAAATAAAGTGAAAAGATGCGGAGATGTGGTAACTGACCAGCAGGTATGGTGGCGGCGAGACAAACTCAAACTAGCCTTGCCCATACGACGATGTGTTGTGAAACCTACGGTTTTTGTACTTACGATGGGTTCTGAACCCAAAACAAGGCAGAAGTGACAACGAAATGAAAAATACTAATGGGGTCACTAAAAAAACAAACCCTCCATGTCTAATGCCCCAGGTCGCTTTGGACCGCCATGTTGTCCCTGATAATAATAATAATATGTTTCGAATAATAAATTATACGAACACCTACTGTTTGCACAGGCAACATCTGAACATTATTGCTGTTTGCGAGCCTGAGAAAAGTAAGAAAGGATACATTGGTACACCATACATAGTTTGCCAGGATACAGCTATTCAACTCTTGCTGGCCAAAACTATTGGATATTAACCCTTTCGCTATATAACGGTAGTGAATAGTGACAGAGGTTTTATCACCCAGTATGGGTTTTAAGCAGGCACCTGTGATTAGGCCTCTAAACTTCAGTTAATTGGTCGCATAATCAGTAAACGTACAGCGGTAATTACTTTGAGAACTGGAAACTATCATACACATTTCCGAGGCATAAATAAGCAAACATATTTATTCTCAAGTTATAAAGTTAATGTGAGAGAAGCCAGCTTACATGCCTAATCAAAATTGATAATTGCGGAGAAACATAAAAATTTTTAACGGTACTGAATGATACAGATGGAGGACATTAAACTCTATCATGAATGTTATGAATGTTATGAAAATAGCAGGAACATACCATTTTACATTACATACACATCGTTCTGAGTTTAGGTCATTTCTGCCCAGAATTCTTTCTTCACATCAAACGGCGCGGTATTTGGGGTTTGCGTTGTGAGTAGTCGATATGATTGACCTACCTACAAGACCAAGTGTCTGGTCAGATAAACTCCTATTTTAACAGCAATTCTTACGTTCGTGGATTGATTGACCAACAGTCACTTACTTCAATGATTTCAGGAATAAGTAAGCATCCATACGATCATTTAATCCAGTTAAATGTCTAAGTTCAGGCATCAACGTCTGATTGAGAAATTTCTTACCCTTCAAGCGTTACCTTTTCGAGCAATTCAGGCTAGTAGTACTGAAAAAATTTGTTGTGGTGCAAGTAATTAAAGAATGGAAGAACGGTCGTTCAACAGTGGTGAATATTACACATGTGTAAAACTTCATGGACTTAAGTCTATGAATTCACATCAAAGTATGCAACACTGTCAGAGAGATACATTGGCTGGTAATTGACTTCTGTTAGGTGGATTGATACAAGACAAAGTACTAGAGAAATCTGTTACACAGCATTATTATGGATGTGGTACCGTTAGGTAAAGTGATCTGTCGAGTTTGATTGTTTATCCAGATTTCCGCTGCATTTGTCACAAACCAGAAATCTGAGACCAGTTACTGTGCTTGGGCTTTCGTATGTGGTGGCATTTAGGGTACTGGTAGGGAGGTGAGTTGGTTGTTAAGCTGTTCAAGAAACGAGAAAATCAGGGCGAGCCAGTTGGACACTTCCAACATCGGTTTCCAGTATTAGGTGAGGAGTAGGATTCCCAGCAAGTTGATATGTTTTGATCAAACTTATGCTTAAGACTTTCTCGTCAGGCTGATACATTTTGTATTCATCAAATGTGAACCAACATCTGACATAGAAAAATAGCGACCTATAAACATCACGTCAGTAGTGTCCAGGACTATGGAAAAGGTGATTGTGAAAGCAGTTGTCGACTGCATGACAACAAACCAGTTACTCTCACCAGCACAACATGGATTCTTGAAAGGCCGGTCATACGCTACCAGCTATCCTAACTGTCTAGACGACGTTGCAGGCAAGCGTGGTCAAGGCTTATTTGTAACTACCCTTTTCCTAGACTTCACGCAAGCATTCGATAAAGTACCTCACAAACGCCTTGTCACTAAGCTGCAATCATATGTTTTCCAAGACCCCTCTCTGTCCTGGCCTAGAACATCTTTAGAGGGTCGCTCCCAGGTAGTAAAATTCAGTAATTGCTGCTCCTCCCCTGGACATATACAAAGTGGTGTCGTCCAGGGTAGTGTGCT